ATTATAATGTGACGGTCAATCACACTATTCATTGGTAAAAGAGTAGCCCAAGAGTTGGTGGTGGCAGTGCTGACTAGCTGGCTTCCCTTTAGTCTTACACTGCTAAATTAGGGACGGCTAGTGCAGATAGCCCTCGTGTAGCTTTGCACAAATTTCAAAACAAACAAACAAAGCTAAAACACGTCCTGATTAGAGGAGTATTCACATTCTTTGAAAATACAAAAAAAATACAATGTACACAACAAATTATTCAAGTTTATTAAAAAGTGATTAGTATCTAGAAAAAAATTAAAATTAATAACATAAAACTAACCTGAGTGTTTGAAGTGCAACTGTAGTGTCATACTTCTTCTCAGCACTGGGAAGCTTTTCAAATGATGTTAAACATGGATGCCTTTTCAGAACATCATCTCTAATCTGTGAAAAAATTAACATTAATTTCACAGGTTAACTTTACAATGTACACTAAGTAGATCCTTAAAACTGGCGGTTCAAATATAAAAATATATTATGTATGTTACAAAATGTACTTTAACATAGTCTCAAGTTCCTCTTTATCTTTAAATTGTGATGTACAGCATGAACCTGTTTGATAGAGATGTGCTAAAAAGTTACTAAAGTTCTAAGTCTACCTAATATTTCATAATGAAGTTTGTCTGTACCATTGTGATGATTCTAATACTAGCTTCCAAATGAGTATATTTAATCTGAGTAAATAAAGAGTTACTTGCACCTAAAATAAATATTTCTAACTAAGATTTATATAACAAATATGTTTTGTAGTTACAGGTTACCAAACATCCAACAAACTTGATATGTTTTATACTAGCATCACACTTCATTTATTTAATTATATATAAGCATATTAATGTATTTATCTATATTGCTCATTATGTAATGTACATAGGATAATAATAAAAATAATTATAAGACTATTAAAAAGTAAATAAACTGACCTCTCCATATGTCCAGCAGTTGTCAATTTTATTCATTGCCCACACCTCATGAATATTCTCCGCAAGTTTATCTCTGACATTTTCAATGTATGCAGGAAGATTCACCTACAGAGAGAGAAAAAAAGTTAAAAGTGATTCCTCCTAGAACCACACACAAAAAATCAATGATTACTTACAGGTATAGTACAATATTTATAGAGGTCATATTCATTATAACTGTTTATTCAATAAACAAGTTATGATTTGCCTTGTTATTCTATTATATTACTAACGTTTAACAAAAAGAGCTCGAATTCTCGTACTACAGAATAGATTGAACATTCCTTACAATGTCAGTATATTACAAACTGCCTCAGCCCAACTTTTAAACACCTTCCATGGCCAGTGGCAGCACTACAGGAGGAGCATTTGCCCATATTTTTTCTTGCCCTCTAGATTGCCCCTCATCCCCACCCCAAAATTTAATCCTAGATATATAGAGTAAATATAATGTGTATAACAAAAAAAACATGTTAACACATGCACTAACATTTTACAGGATGTTATTTTTTATTGTATGCTAGAAGTCAACCAGATATATCCTACAAAATAGATATTCCCTTTAACCTTACACTTTTATACTAATAGTACTACTGCACTAAATAATTATTTATTCAATTAACTAATGCTCGAAACAACATTATTCATCAGTTTATTTTTAAAGGGACTTGTTATCCACCCACACTCCCCCCCAAAGAAAAAACTCCCGATCCTTTACAAGAGCTGTGAGGGGCATCAAAACTCAATACAAAGTATTTTTTTTAAACCCAATGTCAGCTCAATGTAATTTAGCACAAGTTTGTGGGGGAATAACGAGTCCCTTTAAAATTACACGTGAGTATAAAAATGTCTTATTTTGCCTCAAAAACGTTGTTGTCCCCCTCCATTTTTGGTGCTGCCACTCTTCATGTTTTCTAGCCAGTTTTATTTATTTATTTTTTTAACAATTTCACTCATCTTTATATTCTTTACAGGTCATTCATACTGGTATTTGTTATTATAGTTACACATTTAATCCTTACAAGGATGTCTTATGGCTTGTTTTAACTCTCTCTCTGTTCACTTTCTCTAACTTCTGAAATTATATAATAATTAGTACCTTTCTCTAAAAATAAAATGCATAAGAATTTTACAAATCTATACTCTTTAATTCAACATCACTTGCCCAGTAAGACATTAGTCTCGTAGGAAATATTTATGAAACTTACTCCAGAAGTGTCTACTGGTACAGGTACAAAAGCTATATCATCTAACTCCAATGCTGGACCATACAAAATTCCCTTATTAACTTCTCCAAACTGAAAGCAGGGCTCTACTGTCAATATCTGTTGTGGGAGTAAGGATTCTACTAGAGGTGAATGTCCATTTGGTGGCCCATACCGTAGTCGACCTTGATCTCCTCCAAACATGAAACGACAACTAACAAACAGAATATTTTCAAACTAGTAGAACAAGGCTTTCATTAAATAAAAAAATTTTTCTTTCACTAATAACATGATATCAGATATTACTATATTAGCCTTACTAGAAACATTAAAGTGAAAACAGAAATTATTATACATCTGTACAAAAACACATATATAGCACTTTTGGGCTAAAACAGTTCGTTAATAGTCACATCAACTTCTCCATAAATATTAAATAGGTACGTTATGATGAAACTATTTATATTGAAGCATACCAAATATCAAAGTTCAAGAAAAGTTTAGATGTAATGTCTTTAACCATGTTCATCTTTCACTACTTCTTTCAAAAAACTCATTGAAATTTAATAACACAAAAAATAAAAATCATTCATTGAGAATAAATGTGAATAATACATATTAACAATATAAATAAAAACTTTTATAGTGTAACAAATGTTCCCATAATTCCCTAAGTTAGTATAAATTTTCACTGCACTCTTTCTAACACATTATTATAACTAACATGAATGTGCAAGTGTGTGTGTAGCCAGAGACACACAACTAAAGATTCTGATATAGATACATGCAAAAAAAAATTTAAAAAGTTAAGACAGAGAGAGTGACAATGAAAATATTGAGAAACAGGTAAAAATTATAAATACCTGAGTCTGGCTGAGAAGCTGATAACAGGATAAAACATTCCATCTGTGTTAAAGTTTTTGAAACAACCTTTCACCTTCACACCATTTACAGTAAATGTAATAATGGGTATATTCAAATCGAGGATACAACCAATTACGTCACCTTTCTGGATGTAAGGGCTGTTGATATGACGAACCAAGTTATGCCGTCCAGCTTTAAGAAGAGAATTTTTGCAGTAAGTAAGAATATTGTACAAATAAGTGCTGTATAAAAATATCTTTTATAATAATATTCTTACTAAAACTAGTTAAGTATAGACCTAATTACTACTAGCACAGAACTTCATAATTTCAGTAAGAAGTTAATGAAGTCTTTGGAATATTCAACATCATTAATTCTTACGACAACACCTAGGAAAACATGACATATGAAATAAGATCAGTGTTCCTCATACTTTTCACATATGGGGATACACTGTATACCTCCTATGGGTAATTTTAAAGGGTACAAGCAAAACGTTGGGGTACAGTTGCTTAGCTGCAGCCAAACTAGATTTAATCAATCAATGTTGTGGTGTTACTTATAGTAGATAAAACTGTAACCAACGTTATTTGTTGAGATAAACTGTAGTGTAGATTACTTGGTATACAACACTAAACAGTTTAGTGTTTACAGTTTACAATTAAAATGATGTTGAAGTACTAGTTAACTTGCTTTTCTTATTTAATCTATTCTCTCTCATACCAATCTATAGTAATTTGATAAGCTATTTGAATTCATTGCACCATTTAGACTGGAACTTTACTTGGTATGCAACACTAAACAGTTTAGTGTTTACAGTTTACAATTAAAATGATGTTGAAGTACTAGTTAACTTGCTTTTCTTATTTAATCTATACTCTCTCATACCAATCTATAGTAATTTGATAAGCTATTTGAATTCATTGCACCATTTAGACTGGAACTTTACTGGATAAACTTGAAGAAACAACAGCATAATCACAATTAGAAACTGATTCTGACTCTGCAGCTGCTACATTTTTCAAATGTTCAATACAAGCATGCAAGTTATTGTTAGTCTTTCTAAAATAACACTCAGTGGGTTTAATACCCTCACATCACTTTTCTGTTATTATCAGGGGAGATCATGATGATTATTGATTATATTGTCATGAGAAGCAAAAACAACTTCAGAAAATATCAAGATCACTAAGTTGGTAACCCGGCCAAATAATTCATCCAGCCATTGTACCAGCTTATTTAAATCACATGACTAAACCAAGACAGAAAAGCACAAGGTATACTCATCTCCATTGGAAATGTAAAAAGGTAGAATGTCATGTAACTTAATAGATTCAAATGATGAACAAAATTAAAGTATTGCCTACTGTCATACTAACAATAATTACTAAAGCACATGCATAATCATGCACTACATAGACCTTAAAACCAGTACAAATTTATTTAAATGAAGCCCATTGTGTTTAGTTTAATGGAAGTCAATCTTGGAGCTAAACACAGCCTAGTAGAGGTTACTATCATTGCATCTTTGCAAGTACACACACTGTGTTTTCTGTTTATTTGTCATGATAAAGATTTTGTTCATTTATTTAAATTTGTCTACACTCATTACTTAACACTTGAAAAACTCAGTTAAGCTACCAACTATAAAAGACTCCGTTTATTTCTTAACTGAATCTGCTGTTATTTGCAGGTTTGCCTATCTGATACTTGACCTGAAAATATCACATTATTATTATTATTATGAAAACTAATGACTCATAATGACTTTGTTTTCTAACTGGTTTTTCTAAATCATGCCGTAAGTGAATGCTTGTTTTTGGTACGTGCACATGTGAATGTGTTTTACCATCTGGACATTGAAATAGCACCTGTATAAAGATCTACATATCATTTCCATAGGTTCTGACTATAATTCTGTAAATATGTTACTAAAGTTATATCTGTGAAATGCTGAAGTCAGTTTAACTGACAAGATGATGTTCACATGAAAAATAAAAACATTTTTTGTCCATCATACAGTTTGCAAGTTGTATTTACATAATCTATATAGCCTGCTAAATGGATATAAAAAGTTTTTTTCAATATCCCTATATATTATATAGTATTTTCTCTACTCTAACATGAACTTTTGTGAAATCAACAACGTAGGAGTAATATGACATGTCGATAATTCTGACATCAAATGCATAATACCATGTTAAATGGCACTCTGTACAAAGTCGGGACATGCAAATTGTGACCCGTAACTTCTGAGTTACAGTTTATTGTAGAAGTCACTGTTCCACACCACTCTTATTCCTTTTGTCAATGGATGTGCATATGCCAGTTTTTAAATTAATGAATCTATACTACTACAGACAACACTTCCATAATTTTTCATTATAGAGAATATTTTTCAATGTTTTCAGCCATAAACCCAGTAATATTTCATAAAGTTTGATGAGCTTAAATTTAGGTTATTCTTAACTTCATATACTAGACTAACAATGCAAGGGTACCCAAATGATGAAACAATTCATTCTAATCTTTATAAGTTAGAATGTAAGAATAGTATATTACATTATCTCTACTCCTTACCAGGTTTATTTTTAGTTCTGATTTAAGTAGGTAACTTGCTGTGATCAACATATAATCACATCAGTATGATCAGTCACTTCACTGGCTTTACATATACAACCAAACACTTTTTAAGCTATATATATATATTTATAACCAATTATTATACCAGTCTTATATATACTGCCATTAGCATAAACAACCAATATACAATTGTCACACATTTACCTAAAACATCATGCCATGATAAATCCTCTCATTAAGCCATTAATATTATTATCAATATTTTTGAATTCACAATAGTCTTAAAAAAGTATTTTACCTGTCCACATGTGAGCTCCATCAAAACCAAAAGAGTATAGGTCATCTCCAACTCCATTACCACCCCACTTAAAACCTCCACCAGGGTAAGGTACATAGCCCATGGAGTTGGCCCAACCAACCCGGAAATGAGGCTCTAAATGAGTAACCTTCTCCATGTGGTCAACCATCGCTTCAAAATACCATTTTCGAAACATTACAGAACCATCCACCTTCCCGACATAAATGCTTGGATGCATACTAAAACAGAAGCAAACCTAAGATGTTATAATATATTGAGTTAAATGTTTAAAATAATACTTTCTTATAATTTAAAGATTCTAAGCAAATAACGTTTTAGTTATGGCAGTAGTTTAGCTTCCACATCATCATATACAGATGAAATAATTTAATATCCTGGAAGGCAGAGAAACTTGAATGCTATATTTTATTACAAAACAAAGAAACTAGGAGGAAGGATACAAACAAACATTTTAATTGTGCCTTAAAAGGTATAATAATGTAGTACTCTACTTATGTATTTAGGAAACTCAAAGTTAAGTTAAATCCATCCCATGCTAAAACATCATAGAGGAGCCAATGCTAAACTCCACTTTCAATGACACAAGCAAAAGTGAATGATGACAGATTCCCCCCAGGAGGGGAAGCCAGTCTATTGCAGAGTCTACCCATTATAAGGATGGGTAGACTCAATCAACTGGGGTAAAGTGTCTTGCTCAAAGACACAACATGTAGCGAGCAGCCTTTTGAGTACAAAACCTAAGTCTTAGCCACTAGATCATATTGCACCTTACGAAAAACAACATAAGCAGTTTCTGGGTGTGTGTACTTCAAAGCAAATATAAAAGTGTATTAGTATTACTTCAGAATAAATTGTTTTAAAAATAATATAAATACACACATCAGAATTATTAAGCAAATTAAAAAAAGATTAGCAGTTCTAAAGAAAAAAAGTACAAATTTACACTTTCAAAAACATCAAAGTCTTTCTATGTCATATTTATCAGTTTTACGTGTAACTACAACATCATAACTAAGTTATGGTTCTTAAACAAAAATTTTATGTTCTAAGTCCTTTTATTTCAATCACATATTTTTTTCACTATTTTTCAACTCTAGTTATTTGCAGATTTCACTTTCATTCATATATTAGATATAATTATAGATGCCACAGTTACTGTATAAATTAAAATATTCAAATATGTTTATAATCCCCAACCCCAGAACTTATTTATTAATTTAATTTCACCTACATTTCATTGAAGGATAAGAACTACTAGCAGATGCTCATTGAAACAACTTAATGTAATTTGCCAAAAAATAGTGATGAATAAATATAAAATGTGCAAACAATCCAATCCCTTGAATCAGAGCATATCTGCAACGTGATTGTCTAGTGGGCTGTTTACAATCATCTCTTATCATTCCATGTGTTATTTCAATAAGGAAAATTACATGGTGTTTGTTTTCAAGCAAAGAAGAACAACTGCAATGTAATGTTGACAAAACATGTTTGGGTTTCTATGCCATTGGTGCACCCAAAACAACAGAGAACTCAGGTTTGCTAAATGCTGAAGAGATTTTTTCTGCTGGATGATACCTTTCCTTGTCATTTTACTGAGCACAATAAAAGACCACTACCAAAATGAGTGCTTTTTGGCAGTTTTCAATTCTATAAGAAGTGTTAAAGGGGAGATATTCAATTCAATTCAAATCAATTTATTGACATGTTACAATAATATAATGCATGTAAATAATACCAACATGAAAAAAAAAAAGTTAAGAAAATATATATAAACCAAACAACAAGTATACACTCAAACACATTTCTCTCTTTATGGATTTTTTATGCTCCTATCTTTGAAATATTTCTTTCAATCAGTTGAAGAAGAAAATTCCATCACAAAAAGAAACATTTTTGTTCTTAAGTTTTTTCAAGATTGGCCATGTAGCACATATATAAACTAATGGATAGCTGTTGATAACAATGTAAAATTTTAGGAATTGCAAGAAATGAATAATTTTGATATATCATTTTTTTTATGGTTAACTGTTCAGGAGATACAAAGCATGATAGACAGATATTTCGCTATTATATATATATATATAGATTATCTCACCTAGTAACATGGTCAACAAGCTGTGTCTGAAGTAACAAGTTCTTTCCTGGTAACAAGTTATCACATATATTGTTCTGACTGCTTCGCACTGCAACGCCATTACCCACACACAATGAACAGAGAACATCTAGGACCTAAGTGAAAAAAGCCCTTATTTCAATTGTTTTCAAATGATTGCTTATTAGAAACTAAATGTAATATTCTAAGCAATACTGATTAAGAAGTTTCTCTTAAAAGATAATAATATATTTTGTTCAGCAAAGTCAACAACAACAAAAAATATATATAAAAAACTGCTGTTTATTATTGCTGCTTTTTAATCTACTGTTTATTAGAAACTATGAACAAGAAAATTCAAATAAAGGGAAATAATGATCCTTGCAATATAACACAGATTCTGTTGATACTCGGTAGAATCTAAAACTATAAAAGATGATAATAGCATTTATCTTACAACTGAATTACTAATATAAAATAAAACTTTATTAGTAAGTATACAGTTATTTCTAACTAAAACTAAAAAAAATTATAATAGTCCAAATAAAAATGAAATCAACAAGTCTGAAAACTTTGTCATAACTATACACTACACGAATAGCACTTAAAACAATAATGCATCAAATTCCCTAACCTATGGTTTAGATTTGATTGACTTAGATTAGACTTACTTTTAAGTAAAATTGAAACATCCAAGACTAACAAATGATATACTTTACTATGAAGTAAACAGGCAAAAATAATTAACACTTTAAATTAATAGCCAAGTGTTACACAAATATTATTTGTTAAATATATTTAGAATTTGTAGCAATAGCCATCAAAAGAAGAAAAACTAGAGTTTGATAGTTTGACACAGTATATATGTCAGAAGATTGATTTTTATAAAAAGTCTATTTTAATGGCGTATATGAAATTAAAAGTATGTGACATTACATAGAGTGACTTCAAAATACGTATCTTTACAGCTATAGTTATTATTACACTTAGTGAAAGTTGTTTTACAATGAGATTTTGTCTAAACAAAAATGAACTAAGATATAAATATGGCTAATGCTCATATTTTTGTAAAACAAAATTTAATGTTGAATTTAAGCTTATATGCACTTCTAAAATGCATGAAAGATTACGTGACCTTTAAGAGACCTTAGCTGTGTCATCTGACACAGCTTACAGTATTACTGAGTTCACTTGAAGAGCTGACAGGTTTAATGTGATCTTGTATCACACAAGTAACAATCTTATTCGCTTATATGTAATATTGTTTTACTATTGGAACTCATACGATATCATTACAATCAATATTTTTGATAATAATCATTCAGAATTTAATCCTATCCAAACTTCAGAACATCCTTCAGGTGTCAGGTGCACACCTACATATTAAATTTCAAGATTTCAGCAAAACTAATAAATCTAACTTTTTCCACAATTTTTAACTCAAAATATTTAAGAATTGATATTTTGTCATTATGTAATATTATTTAGTGTAATTCAAATTACAAAAAAATCCCAAGTTTCATTTCTGAGCATCCCCTAGAAGTCTCACCTATAAACAGTTCGGTTATATTTTTTTTGGGGGGATTTTTTCTGCCCATCCATAAGTATGGGTTTATTAATTTCCAAAGAAGTTAGTGTTCTTTGAAAATATCATGATTCTTGCTTTTCATATAATTGTCTTTTATTTGTGGGTTTATTAGTGCCACCCTTTTGAGATGTTTCACAATATATATTTTCTCAGATCAGATTTGAGCCCAAATTCTGTCACATGTCAGGCAAATACCCTACCGACTGACCTAAAGAGTTAACCCACAAGCACTTACTAATACGTCACTTTTAAACAAGTCAAACTACTTAAATACAGTGATTTTTTTTTTAAAATGGGAGTTATTTCAAAGTAACCCAGTAACAAAAAAAAGGTAAAATATTTCTCAATTTTAATAGTAATTTTAATGACCAGTTATCAACACACTATTTTCCTATAAGTATATTGCTAAATCCTGCTTCACGTACTATGATACCATACAAACTCTAAAATACGTTTCATATTTTGGATGTGTGTAAAAAAAATATGTTGTTTTATTTTAAAGAGGTTAAGAGACAAGAGAAGCTGAGCATTGTTCATGATAATATTTTACATGCCTCATAAAAGCATAGATGTATTATCTGTTAACAACTCTATATAACTGATGTTTTTCAAGCTTGAAAAGCCTTAGAATTCTTACTTACTTTTGGATCTCTTCCATGTTTCTCTAACAAAGAGATAATGACTTTGATGTGTTCTTCTTTCATCATATTCAATGCTTCAGGACTGTCTATCAACACACAGTGTAACACATCCAGCATACCTTGAATAAATATTAGTGAAAACAATGTTTTAGTAACCATGAATTAATTGAACTTATTGATACAAAACTGCCATACCACTACGTGATGAGATTGTGTTAAGGCCCGGCATGGCCAGGTGGTTATGGCGCTCGACTCGCAATCTGAGGGTCGTGGTTCAAATCCTCATCACACCAAACATGCTCGCCATTTCAGCCATGAGGCGTTATAATGTGTCGGTCAATCCCACTATCCGTTCGTAAAAGAGCAGCCCAAGAGTTGGAGGTGGATGGTGATGACTAGCTGCCTTCCCTCTAGTATTACACTGCTAAATTAGAGACGGCTAGCGCAGATAGCCCTCATGTAGCTTTGAGCGAAATTCAAAACAAAACCAGATTGTGTTAAAACAATTAATTTTTGCTAAACATATAAATTTCTTTTCATTAAATATACATGGTGAAGCCAATAAAGTTTTCTTTTTCAATCACTAATACAACATTTGAAACTATTACAGATTCTTCAAAGAGAGTACAGCAAAATGGAATTCTTGTCATTACACTAAATATGATGTACAACCCAACCACCTGTTAACTGTAAAAGGTAATCATTAAAGATAAACTTTCAACTTCAGGCACAATGTTAACCACAGAAACTGTGTAACCAAAGAAGGGAGAACTTTCCTTCTGCATAATTAAAGTATCGTAATTATAAACAATATTTTTTTGTCAGCCAAATCATAACTAAATGCTACTTCTATTTAGTTTCATAATGGTATCAAATTACATGGTAAGCATTTCACAACCTGAAACAGTATAGATGATGGTGAAGGTACTATTATTATATAAGTATCACTTAAAAACACATTACTTACCCAAGATGATATAGTGAAATATCTAATTCACTCACCTGTACCTTCAGATGCTTGCTGGCTTCCTAACCTGCTGAATAACCAGTCTAATCGGTTGGACTGGGCAAACTGGGCACAGTTCGTGTGGTTTCCTCTGATAATTGCAGCTATTTTGTAAACAGTGAGGAAATGAAATAAAATATTTTGTAATAATATTACATTGTGATAAAAAACGACTTTTATGAATGAAAAAAACAATACTGTTACTAATATCTACTAAATAAGTATTAACTACACATAATAATAAACAATTATTTACATATAGCATTTCTACAGTTCAAGTTACTTGCATATTTCTAAAGTGAAACATACCTTAAGAGTACTTAAAACTCTTTCATCCATTATCTTAAAGAAAACCACATATAATAATAATACATACCTAAAAGCTGGTATAAATATCCAGAGATTGCTTCCCAGTTTTGGCCACCATCCTCTTCTAATAGGGCAACAAAGTATCCTTTAGAAGTGATAACATTAATCTTGTCAATTGTCTCCAGAATTAGATTTAGGATGCCCTATGTATGAGAAACAGTATTATGTATTTCCCTGCAATAAAACAGGAATTAAAAAAACATATTTCCCGATATATAATACACCTATGGTAGCATGCCCTAGTGGTTACTGTTTTGAACTTGTAATTGAAAATTTGAAGGTTCAAAGTTGTATCCTTGAACGAGACACTTTACTCAAAATGTGTCTCAGTCTACTCAGTTGTAAAATGGTACCAGGCTGGGTGTTAATCTGTTACGGACTGGTATCCCATCATAGGAAAATGTAAACATATTCTTATCCACTTCTAGCATGGGAAGTTGTATCAAAGCACCAGCCTTATATACATTCTAGACTGATATAAATTCACACTCTGATAAATGTGGTTATATAGTTATGCTAGAAATATTTAATAAAAGTGTACCATTGAACTTACTGCAGTCACAGAATTGTATTTTAATGAACTTTCTTACTTTTATTTAATGATAAATAAAATGCCTGTACATTTTGCATATATATTAAGTCATCAAGAAAATAATGTCGCTTTTTTTTAGATGAAAAAAACCCAAACACCTTAATGGTATCAAAACAAAACATTTATTAAATGAAATAGTCTCCATTCTTATCGATGATGCTTTTCCATCTTACAATCAGGTTGTTAATGCCTTGATTAAAGAAATCACTTGGCTTTGAAGCAAAAATCATGTCGATGTCCTCTTTAACACCTTCCACATTTACATACGTTTTCCCATTAAGATGGTGTTGCAACCCAACCCAACTCCGTAATCTTGTGTTGCATCAAACCTGCCACATGTGAACATGCATTGTCATGGAGAAGAATACCTTTCCGATTGACAAGTGAAGGGCATTTCTGATGAAGGGCTTCATTTAAACGTTCCAGTTGCTGACTATAGATCTATGCATTGACA